CTATGTGTAGTAAATGCTGCTCCATCTGAAAGCACGTGATGATGATTTCCTGCTGATTACAGAACCGGCATTACTAACAAAATGCGCATGACAATCGCATTCGATTAATCGTGCAGCCCTATATACTCTCACACTTTATTTGCTTCTATTTTAGAACACTTGATTATCTAATCAAAATAACAATATATGTTAGTCACACACCGGGCAAAAAGCACCACGCAGACAACTCGCAGGTATCACACAGACTACGGACGCCTTGCGTTCAATATGGCAGAAGAAAATGCTTTGTGGCCCTTTCCTGTTTTCTTTCTGAACAGTTTGTCAGTTTTTAACTGATACAGTGAGACTCATTCTGCCTCCTGCAGAATCACCCATTTCACTGCCAAACTGGAGAAAACTATCGTCACAGCCAAATCAACCTCTCACCACCAGCAACCCTTCTTCATAATAAACTCCTGCTCAAAGTCATGTCAAACAGAAAGTCAAGCTTTGTCTGAGGATACTGAAATGTGTTTCATAATAACTGCACTACATCCAATACTAAAGAAAATAAAAAAACAACAACAGTGTCATATTGGAAAAGTTTAAATGTATAGGAATAATTATTTGGGGATTTAATGGCATTCATTAGTCACATTAGGAGGAGCACAAACAGGAATGTTCCCGACAGGTGCTGCTGACCTCCATGTGGTAACGACCTCCTGGAGAGCGTGGTCACAATTTAACAGCTGCCATGGTGCAGCAACTGTCAGACATGAACTTACTACAGCGAAATCTGACGGAAGTCAAAGCCAAAAAAGCTTTTTGCCTTAAAGTATTAGGATGTTAAGTACAAAACAAAATTTAAGACTTTCAGTAGCTCAGTACAAGTATTTTAGTCTCCTCATGAGTATTTTAAAGGTGAAGCTGTAGATGATTGATGGCTCCTTTAAAGAGCCTGCACTCTGACACACATCCCTTCCCCCTGTAACGGAGACATAAACCCCCTTGACGTTGCACTAAGCGCTCGCAAACTCACACCAACAACTGCACTCTAGACCCTTCAGTCAAACACTCTTCTGAAATCCCTCAGTATTTATGTACACACAAACATGAGTACAGAGTCTGTTGGAATTGCCAGCCCACAGCTGCAGATATTAGAGGTGTTGCCATGCAGGACAAAAATACAACTGTAAAGAACAGCCCACCGTAGCAGCATCAACACACTTGAGTGTGTGTGCACTAACAAGTAACCAAGGAAACGGTTTGTCTTCAATTCTGAGCACTAAATACTAAGGAACAGAGAGTTCATTTCATGCAATTTTGCTTCATGCAGCTCTCTAAAAGCACAACATACATTGACAGAAATGGAGGTGCAAAATCCTAAATGGCATAGGACCTCCACTAGTAGGGCTGCACGATAAATCGCATGTGATATTTAACACGCATCTTGTCAGTAAAGCCGGTTCTGTAATCAGCGGTAAATCTCCATCACGTGCGGGCTTTCACATGGAGCAGCATTTACTACACAGAGCTGTTGTTCACTGACAAGCTGCGCAAAACATGCGCAAAATATGATCGTGGTTTTCTGATTACAGAACCGGCTTTACTGACAAGATGCGCGTTAAATAATCGCATGCGATTTATCATGCAGCCCTATCCACTAGGGGTGTAATCGTACACAAACATGGCAGTTCGGTACATACCTCAGTTTTGACGTCACGGTTCGGTACGGCAAGGGGAAAAACTAAACATAAAATTGCTTCTTTTTTTATTAAACAGTGGATTACTGAACAAATTAGGGCTGTCAAAATGGCTGAAAAACTAAATTCAAATTTTTTACTTAAATATTATCAATATTCGAATTATATTCTAATTTAAAAGGCATAATTTCAGTTGGGGGGAAAAAGCTTTAGGCTTCTCTCCTGAGGCCACAAGAGGGCGCATCAAGCAAAATATTATGCACGTTTCTTCAAAGCATAATAAAATAACGCGACTATCTTTGAAAAAAGTGCATAATGTTTAAAATAATGTTTATAAACCTTATATAATTAATAAAGTTGCTTAAACAATTAGAAACTAAACAGCATCATGCATGTATGTATAGTTTAATACAAAGGACCGAAAACCAATCACAAAGAGTACTTTCTTCATTTAAAAACTTGAGATGCAGTGGGATGAGGAAAACCACCATAAAGTCGCCAAAAGTTGAACTTACATTAATTTTACATAGCTTTCTAAACATGCGGCTCTCTTGTGCGAGACGCGAGTGCAATGGTGATAGATGTCCATCTAGAAAATGCGATATTATGCGTTCTGTGTGAACAGCTTGGTTTCGGTTTTGACGTAAACAACATCTTCCCCGCATTGATTGTTCTCTTTTTCTGCAATATTTTGAATGAACAACGTAGCAGCGCCGCATCTAGTGGGTTCAACTGGATAGGTTAACAAAAGCATTAAAATTACATCGTCGTCGCATTTCGTGCTCCACTAGCCAGGTTTCCATCCAAAGTTGCGAATTTAACTTATGCGCAAAATTGGAATATCGCATAAAACATTTGCGAACAAGCACTGTTTCCATCCAACGAGTCAGAGAGAACAAAATCGTCACTTCCTGATAAACTGGCACTAAATATCACTAAGAAAAGTAAGAGAAGCCACTGAATATAATAATTCTCAAATATAATAAATTACTTGCGCTTTGAGTGAGCAGACGAAACACAATAAATGCGGTCTTGCTTTCGGAGGTGAATGTCAGCTGTTTGGGAACGCAGTCGTGGTAGACCGTTCTGGGAGGCAGTTATACAGAAATACTTTGACGACAGACTTTGCTCGGGCACTTCAGAATGACCATGACAACATTTCAGATGCTGTGCAACAAAATCGGTCCGCTGGTTAGTCAGGTTATGCTGTCCCATAGCGCAAAGTCACATTACTTTTTTGAATTCTCATGTGGGATTTATTCGCAAAATGCATTTCCATCTCCCATTATTCGCATTAACCTTTTTTCGCACAAGTCAAAAAACACCTCAAGCGAATGTAAAACTTTTTGCGAATTAAGGGATTTTCTAAATTTGGCGTTTCCATCACTCGGTTCTCATGCGATACTTCAAAATGTGCATTAAAACAAGGTGATGGAAACATAAGGCTGCCTGACGCACACCTAAAATTCGAATGCAACGTTTTTGCATTCGAATGTGGATTTTTATTTTAAATTCGACGAATATTCGAAATTCAAAAAAAAAAATTGACAACCCTAGAACAAATTGCCCTTTCTTTAAATAAATTCAATTATAATTAATTTTCTTAGGGATAAAAATCTACTTCAGCTTATGCTCTAAACTATAGGGAGCCCTTTTACATTACTATAAGGTTACAATTAACAACAGAGCCCAAACTTATATCTGATTACTATTTATTTGTTAAATATAATAATCAACACACAACCTAAAAAATAATTATATGCAAATATGTAAATTGCACAATGCAATTTTGAAATTAAATTCTAAATGATAAAAATTTCTATTTGTTGTTAAAATATATTAATTTACACAGTGGCTGTCATAACTTGTTTCATAACATATTTATTTAAACATTAAATAATTAAGACATCACTAACAGTTAAAGTAAAATATAAGGAGTATAAAGTCTAATATTTCGCGAAATGCTCTTCCCTAGACTTCGTTTCTCTAGCGAATTAACAATCTGTGGACACTGATGCCTTGCCTGAGGTAAATGAAATGCTACGTGACATTTTGTTTACAAGCTGTTTTATTGACGTGTTTCCGGGGTTGAAACGGTGAGGCACGGGAAGTCAATTCATACTTATTTCGCGTTAAAACTAGTAAAGAGGAAGGGATGATCGCGCTCTGCGCTGCCGTTTGAACTGAGGCGTTTATACAGTGATCTGTCACGCTACATCTAAGAGTGTCAATGGCATTTCTATTGTTTGAATTTCCTGACAAAAAAGACATGATTTGAAAGATGAAACTTTGTTTCTTATCAAAAGTAACAATATATAAAAGTGGAAGTTTCCAATTAAGTTCCACTCATGCAGTGGTTAAACCAACGCTGTGTTTGCGTACCGAACCGAAAGACCTGTATCGAAATTTTTCAGTGCAAATACGTGCACCGTTACACCCCTAACCTCCACATGTGTGACTAATACTTTATTACAAGCTGACATAAACGGACACTAATTATCCAAACACTAGCAGCATTGTAGTATAAGAGTTTACAGATATGACGCTTGTGGCTCTTATTAAAAGTTAAATACTCTAGGAACTACAAGCACCGAACGTCCAAATAGTCTGAGGAACACAGGCCACAACTGTTAATTTCTTTGACAGAGACGTGAATAGAAACTGAAGTTCAAGAACCAGTATAGTGGGGTTTTTTTACACAATGAAGTTCTCATGAGGCATGCGGTCAGGCTTCATAAGGACTGAAAATCAACTCCTCTGTGACCTCTCAAACTAATCTGTTGGCTTTGAGCGCGCTGTCTGATGATTCTAGTCAAATCATGTTCTGAGCGCCAGTCATTTGGAATATGAATACCTACCTTTCCCAAATTCACACACAACATTGTGACACCTTGCTTAAAGGTCCCATGGCATGAAAATGTCACTTTATGAGGTTTTTTAACATTAATATGAGTTCCCCTAGCCTGCCTATGGTCCCCCAGTGGCTAGAAATGGCGATAGGTGTAAACCGAGCCCTGGGTATCCTGCTTTGCCTTTGAGAAAATGAAAGCTCAGATGGCCCAATCTAGCATCCAAAAAGCAGCATGTCATGGGACCTTTAACAAATAGTCCACTGTAAGACATCCTAACACAAAAGTGAGAAACACTTACCCTCTCTGTGGCCTTGCTTTTCTGAAGTGTTGCTCCCGTCAATCTGTAGAAAGAACAGCCGTACGGTTAGACTGGCATTTTATCAATGGACATCTGTGTTGATTCCCAGTATTTGTGGACTTGCTGTCCTTTACCTCCGTTACCATGCTTAGAAAGACACAGAGGCTAATTTGCTGTCTTCGTGTATTATTTATACTGGCTCTATTAGAGTTGGGTTTTTCCCTTTACAATCAAGCCACGGAGACGGACAGATCTTACAAGAGAGTCAATGCTGTACATCCTGCCAATGTCAGATAAGGCCTGAACAGGTCAGTTACAACTGGCTTTATCTAATGAAGTCTAATGTAATACAAAAGCACAATACAGGCATATATTGCCCCTCTGTATACATTAAGATAATATAAACCTTCAGTGCAACATTTTGCACTGAGAAGTGCAATATAATGATATTCCGCCATGATTCCAGTTCCAAGGGAACGTACACGTTCCATTCAAAGGGCATTAAAGTGCGCGAGAGGTGAATTTATATTGTATTTATTTACAGAGGTATATTATGTCACACTTCACACTTCTCTAGTAAGTTTCATCTGTG